CTTCTCTCCTCCTCCTCTCCTCCTCCTCCTTCTCCTCCCTCCTTCCCTCCTCCTCCTTCTCCTCCTCCTCCTTCTCCTCCTCCTCCTTCTCCTCCTCCTCCTCCTCCTCCTCCTCCTCCTCCTCCTTCTCCTCCTCCTTCTCCTTCTCCTTCTCTCCTCCTTCTCCTTCTTCTCCTCCCTCCTCCTCCTCCTTCTCCTCCTCCTTCTCCTCCTCCTCCTCCTTCTCCTTCTCCTCCTCCTTCTCCTTCTCCTCCTCCTTGTCTTGTGTGCGAGTGTGTGGCTTATAATTGTTTTGAGTCAGAAGTCGGCAGCTGTCAAAGTGACATATTGTCTCATTAGTCACTACCCCTACCGCTGTCAAAACAATGGAGTTGGATGCTGCTTCCCCTCCTCCATTCTATCTAATTATCTTTCTCCCTCATTCTATATCTTTCAATCTGTCTCTCTTTCTATCTGTCTGCCTATCTCTGTCTCACAGGTACACATAAATACAAGTATACATAGTGTAAATTACCTAGGATAACCCAAGAAATCCAGACAAAGTGCTATACTCTGCTTGAAGATGTGAGTAAACGTGATGACACAGTCTTGTGGCTCTCTCTGAGACAGAGAGCTAGATGGACAGACAGGGAGCTTGACAGACAGACAAATAGACAGACAGAAATGTTTGTGTACCAGCAAAAACAAAGGGAGGGGGATGGTCATGTAATATTACCCTCCTTTACGCTCATCAAAATCAGCTCTTATCAGATGTTATCTCCCCTTATCTTGTCACTGTCATGGGGTGGACTTTTTTTTTTCTTGCTTCAAGGGAACAATATTATTACATCTTCTTCTTCCTCCTCCTCCTCCTCCTCCTCTTCCTCCTCCTCCTCCTCCTCCTCCTCCTCCTCCTCCTCCTCCTCCTCCTCCTCCTCCTCTTCCTTCCCTCCTCCTCCTCCTCCTCCTCCTCCTCCTCTTCCTCCCCTCCTCCCCCTCCTCCTCCTCCATTGCTTTTGGTCTCAAACTCCTCCAAATCATGAAATTGATCTTCACTGACACTTCCATCTGTGTTAGAGCATCACTTGGGAAGAGAAGAGTCCCAGATTTGCTGGGGAATCACATATTTCTTACCGCTAGACATGCTGAAAAAGGACAACTGAAATGGCATTCCCACAATGCACCACTGGCTCCCCGATTTTTTTTATATGGTGCACACTGACCATGGAGACCCATTCTCTCACATGTGGGCCTACCAGCTTTCTCCTGCTTGATTTGAAGCTGCTAGAATTTATGCGTATAAATACGTCAGAAACATTGGCTCGTAAGACGTATTTATACGTCGGAAACAGTCAAAGGGTTAACCCCAGAGGATTTGCCACCCAGGATAACCCAAAAAAGTCAGTGTCATCGAAGACTGTCTAACTTATTTCCATTGGGGTCCTTAATCTTGTCTCCCAGGATGCAACCCACACAAGTCGACTAACACCCAGGTGAACAGGGAAAAATGCCTGGAACTAGTGCTCATATTGGTGAATTTAAAGCCAGCAAAGGTTGGTTTGAGAGATTTAAGAATCGTAGTGGCATACACAGTGTGATAAGGCCTGTTCTGGAAGAAAATGCCAAACAGGACCTACAGTACTCAGGAGGAAAAGGCACTCCCAGGACACAGTGTCTCATCAGTCATTGCTGCATCTTCAATAAAGGTAAGTGTCATTTATTCTTCATTTAGTAGACTAGTACATGCACAATATATACTGTGCATGTACTACTCTACTATTGTGCATGTATCCTTCTCTTTGTGTGTGGGAAAATGTATATTTCATGTGGTAAAATTTTTTTTTTCATACTTTTGGGTGTCTTGCACGGATTAATTTGATTTCCATTATTTCTTATGGGGAAAATTCATTCGCATACCGATTATTTCGCATAACAATTACCCCTCTTGCATGGATTAAAATCGTTATGCTGGGGTCCACTGTAATAACAATAGAATAATCACAATAGAATAATTGACACTTACCTTTAATGAAGATCTGGTGATGATTGATGGGATGGGAGGAGGGGAGAGTGTCGAAGTTTTTAATGTTTAGAAGGGGAATCACTGTTTTGTAATCACAGTTGCACCTTTTGCAAGAACAGCTTCCTTGATGCCGTTTTCCTGCTCACTATAGTAGAGATGGTTGATTGGGATTTACTATACAACTTGGCCAGGTCCAACACACGCACTCCACTTTCATACTTTGCAATTATCTCTTTCTTCATTTCAATAGTCATTAGCACCCTTGGTCTCGATGGGTTGGCACTAGAAGCTTTCTTGGGGCCCATGGTGACTTATTTTGCAGAAACAAGCACCAAAAACAGTGATAATATGGAATGTACCGAATGTATTGTTAGATGCGCGCACACTGGCTGGTTTGTAAACACTGTCACACACGGGGCAGTTCAGGCCACACATGGACACATCTCGTACGAATCGTATCGCATACCGGGTTTTGTAATGGGAGCCGAGGCAAATTTTTTGCGATATAATGCTTCGGATACCGGATTTATCGGATACCGATGACTTCGCGAACTGGGGGTCCACTGTATTTACTTTTATACTTCTTTCAACATACCAGCCGTATCCCACCGAGGTGGGGTGGCCCAAAAGGTAAAATGAAAGTTTCTCCTTTCAAATTTAGTAATATATACAGGAGAAGGGGTTACTAGCCCCTTGCTCCTGGCATTTTAGTTGCCTCTTACAACACGCATGGCTTACGGAGGAAGAATTCTTTTCCACTTCCCCGTAGAGATAAGAGGAAATAAACAAGAACAAGAACTAGAAAGAAAATAGAAGAAAAACCAGAGGGGTGTGTATATATATGCTTGTACATGTATGTGTAGTGTGACCTAAGTGTAAGTAGAAGTAGCAAGACGTACCTGAAATCTTGCATGTTTATGAGACAGAAAAAAGACACCAGCAATCCTACCATTATGTAAAACAATTACAGGCTTTCATTTTACAATCACTTGGCAGGACGGTAGTACCTCCCTGGGCGGTTGCTGTCTACCAGCTTACTACCTATAACTTTTATACTTACACTTTTATATTTGCACTTACCTTAGAGGAGATGTTAGTTTAGTTAGTTAGTTTGATAGAGGAGATGCTGGCAGAGGTTTAGGGTGGTGGAAGATACGTAGCAGGCCAGCGTATGTTCATTGGCCCAATACACATCCAACAACATTGGAGAGTTACTTTTGTGTCATTTTTCTATCACTTATTCACTTAACTTACTTGCTACACTGTTAATTCTACACTTTATCGCTGGCTGGCACTATAGCCTTTATCGATACCTGCTGCTTTAGTATCGTACATATCGTAGAATCGCTGAATCACTGCAGAAGGCACATTCTCCCCTCTCTCTTCCTCCTCCACTTTGGTACTTTGCTATGAGTTTTTTCTTGAATTCTTGTATGTTTTTCCTTTTTTACCACAGGGCTGGCACTAGAAGCTTTCTTTGGACCCATGGTGGCTTATTTAGCAGTTATAAGCATTAAAAACAATGGAATAATACAAAATATGTCGCATGTACGCGTGGAATTGTCCTCCCTGGCTTGTAAACAATGGCATACTGGCTGTACATAGGCTCAGGCCTCATGGACACGTTCGGGACGAATGTCCTTAACCGAGTTCTTGGGCGTTAGCCGAGTCAGTATTTTGACACAAAAACGTGGCGCTATCCAATTTTGGCATTAGCCGATGACGCCATTACTCGAGGGGCCACTGTACTCCATACCCTTTGAATTGCATGTGGTACACTACCTGAGCGCATGCGGTGTCGTATAAACTGCCGCTTAACTAGTGAATATAATTCCTCACTTTCATCACCATTACTCAAATCCGAGCTCTGGCCACGCGAAAATATTAGTTTTTTCTTGCGATGAGGTACAACTGAACCTGACTGAGAGGCACCAGCACCAGAGGTCGAAGGTTGAGGGTCGTCGGGATTTTCGACACTATATTCGATATCCTGAGCATTGCTTTCGGTCACAAATTGATGAAAGCCATAGAATTCCTCTTCAGATCCACTTCTATCAGTGTTAGAACTATCACTTGAGAAGAGGAGAGTCCCAGTTCACCTGGGAGTGAGAGCTTCCTTGCTTCGAGGCATGGTGAACAAAGTGTACTGAGATGGCGTTCCCAGTGCCATGCGAGCGCCCCAATTTTTTGTTTACTGCAGGAGGTTTTGTGTGCGAGGGGCTTGGACTTCCAGCAGGCATGCGTGAGCGTGTTTGATAGGAGTGAATGGAGACAAATGGTTTTTAATACATGACGTGCTGTGGGAGTGTGAGCAAAGTGACATTTATGAAGGGGTTCAGGGAAACCGGCAGGCCGGACTTGAGTCCTGGAGATGGGAAGTACAGTGCCTGCACTCTGAAGGAGGGGTGTTAATGTTGCAGTTTAAAAACTGTAGTGTAAAGCACCCTTCTGGCAAGACAGTGATGGAGTGAATGATGGTGAAAGTTTTTCTTTTTCGGGCCACCCTGCCTTGGTGGGAATCGGCCAGTGTGATAATAAAAAATAAAAAACTGACCATGCAGATCCATTCTCTTAGATGTATAGATCTATGGCTTGGACCCTGGCTTCAAAGCGAGGGTCCAAGCCATAGATCTATGGCATGGACCCTGAAAGGGTTAACTAGAAAACACAGGTACTGTGTGTTACTTTTTTGGATTTACTAATGTGCTTAGAGATCATATACAGTATAGTACAAGATTTGTGAGAATCATTTGATGGTGAAAGTTAAAACACAGTGTTCAAGAACTGATGATGTTCCTCCTGAATAAGTTCAAATCTGTAAACTTCCCGAGAAATTTAAGCAGTTAAAATAAACATAGTGGATAAGGGAAACAGGGAATGCAGTCAAAATTTTTTGTAAATCGCTCGCTTCCCATTGTTACATTGTGATTTTTAGGATGTAAATATTGTAAAATGACTTTAGTTAGTAAGCTCAGTAATATATTTATTTTTGTTACAGTTGAGCCTTGGTAATTCACGTTAATGTTTGGACGCTTCCCAGTACAATTTAGAGACAGAGAGGTAATGATGCATGCATACATACATATATAAATATACAGGCATACCTTGTTAGTTCCAAGATTGCAGAACATTTAGGAAGCAGGTTAAATGGAGTTTCAAGACTCAAAGGTGAGGAAAAACAGTTTCAGGAAGAAAAATATTTAATTCTTAATTTGCATACAAATACAGCACACTTATCTAATAGATAACCATATATTTAACAATCACTGTGTGTGTGTGTGTGTGTGTGTGTGTGTGTGTGTGTGTGTGTGTGTGTGTGTGTGTGTGTGTGTGTGTGTGTGTGTGTGTGTGTGTGTGTGTAGGAGAGAGAGATTGAAAGTGTGAGGGCGAAAGTGTGAGGGTGAAAGTAAGTGTGAGGGCGAAAGTGTGAGGGGTGAAAGAGCGAGAGAGAGTGAGTGAGAGAGTGAGCGAGAGAGTGAGCGAGAGATCGAGCGAGAGTGAGCGAGAGAGTGAGTGAGCGAGAGAGGGAGAGAGAGTGAGCAAGAGAGAGAGAGAGAGAAAGAGAGCACAAACAAGCATACTGTATATCATGACTTTGTTGTGAAATATGATTAAAATTTGGCTTAGGTGTGGTTGGTGTTGTAAAGTAAAAGGACACAAGTGCAACTTATGTGACATTTTTATTGTGGCAACATTTCGCTCTCCAGGAGCTTTGTCAACCTTTGGTAACGGCTTGACAAAGCTCCTGGAGAGCAAAACATTGCCACAATAAAATGTCACATTAGTTGCACTTGTGTCCTTTTACTTTACACAGTGTCGGTAATTCTACCAACATATATACAATCTGTAATTGGTGTTGAAGAGGCTGCTGGCTTCTATTTCCTTACTAATTCTTGTTCTTGTTTAATTCATCTTATCTCCATGGGAAGTGGAACAGAATTCCTCCGTAAGCCGTGCATGTTGTAAGAGGCGACTAAAATGCCAGGAGCAAGGGGCTAGTAACCCCTTCTCCTGTATAAAATACTAAATTTAAAAAGAGAAACTTTAGATGTTCTTTTTCGGCCACCATACCTCGGTGGGATATGGTCGGTTTGTTGAAAGAAGAATTCAAAATAGAGGGTAGGTGTTATATAGGAGAGGCCTGGGGATGTAGTACAGTGGACCCCTGGTTTTCAGCCAGTGAGGAAATCATACAATTTGGATTTCAAGCACTTTTTTCGGCAAAATCGCCTCCCCCCCCCCCCCCAGGTTTCATGCATCCCCTCGGAAATTGTTGGTACCAGACGCGTGCGCCTGGGCCACTCGTACGTTCCTAACTCACTCTTGGGCATATTAAATGTCTTATTTTAGGTTAATGCAGTGGACCCTCGGTTATCGGCTGTAATCCATTCCAGAAGGTCGGCCGAAAACCGAATTAATATTTCCCATAAGAATTAATGGAAATACAATTAATCCGTTCCAGACAAAAATATTCACCAAAAAATATTTTTTTTAACAATTATGTAAGTTTTACATATCTTTATTGAAGGCTATTGCTGGCTTCTGGAAGATAGGGAAGAGGAAAGAGGGAAGAGTTAGTGTTTGGAAAAGGAATCCCCCTCCATAAAGACTTTAGGTAGCAAAGCCTTCTCTGGGGTTACTTCCCTTTTTTGTCTTTTAACCCTTTGACTGTTTACGCCTTATAAATACGTCTTATGCGCCACTGTTTCTGACGTATCTATACGCGTAAATTCTAGTGGCTTCAAATCAAGCGAGAAAAAGCTGGTAGGCCTGTATGTGAGAGAATGGGTCTGTGTAGTCATTGTGCACCACATAAAAAAATCCTGCAGCACACAGTGCATAATGAGAGAAAAAAAAACTCTGACCGTTTTGTTGGATTAAAACGCCGACTTTGAGGTGTATTTTCGTATAGTATTTATCGTTGTATTCTCGTTTTCATGGTCTTAGGTGATAAAATGGAAAACATATTACAGAAATAGAGATGATTTTCATTACTTTCACGATGAAAACGACCTTGAAACTGAGCTCAAAGTAGCGGAAATGTTCGATTTTTACCAATGTTCAGGAATAAGTAAATCACACCACACATCCAATACATGTCAACTGGGGAGTCTAATATTCTTTCACTAGTACACTGATATTATTTATACCATTTTTAAAATAATGCAGTAGTCTGCATACCAGTAAATTTTGTATTTTTTTGTATGAATAAAAAATCAAAATAGAAAGCAATAATAATATGAGAGAGGCCTAGAGATGTGACTAATGAACAGAGGATATGTTATTTTAGTGCCGAGAATGTCTACCTTGTTTATTCTGGACCCTATTTTGAAATTGGCATCTTTTTTAATTTGCGTGAAATTGGCCAAATTCCCAATTTCTGACCACTTTATTGCGTAGTTCAAATTCGTAAATTGGCGGTTTCTTGTACTCAACTGATAGATAAAAATGGAGTTCTAAAGAAATAGCTATGAGTTTGGTCAACTGGAACAATGGAATTGCCGAAACATATATGTCGCCGAGACCGCTAACTTCGTGGGAGCATAATTCCGTGAGTTTTCAACCAAATTTCGAACTTTTGGTGTCATTACCACCGGGAAAAGATTCTCTATCATTTCATAAGAATTTTTTTTTTTTTTCAAAAATTTTGCAACATAGAATGACAGTTTCAGAAAGGGGCCTGCAACAGTCAAAGGGTTAATGCTACTAAGACCAGCTTGAGAGTCACTGGACCCCTGCCTCACAACAAATCTGTCCATAGAGGTCTGTTTCTGGTGTCTCTTTAAGATTTTCCTGAAGTGGGACAGGGTTTTGTCACTGAACATGTTGCAGAAATGGCTTGTTTCAGCTTGGTCAGGGTGGTGTTTCTCTACAAAAGCTTGAACCCTAGTCCACATTGCACACACCTCTTTAATCTGTCATTTACTGCTACAGTACATTCATTACTAATCTTAAAATATTTGTAGTCTTAATGTAGGGCAAGAGGTGAGTAGTATTTATTTGTAGGAAGTCAGTGTAGGTAGCAGTAGATGTAGGTACAGTACACGTATGTAGCCCCCCCGGGCTACACTACACAGCTATATTACAATACACAGCCATATTATTACACTACACAGCCATATTATTACCATGTTCACTGAGTTTAATCGTTTCTAACAACTACCTTTAGATGCCATCATAAACAAAGGGAGAAGTAATGAATAATTCATGCCAAGAATTGTAAACAAATGCATATGAAGAGTGGATACTGCACCAGTCGCCAGATTCACAGCTTTCTCTAATGCTGCATCAGAGAAAACGTAATGTTTACTCTCCATCCCACTCTCCACTCGATAACATATAAACATTGCATGTTTATATGCTACATGATATGTAACGTGTTTCTTATACAGGTCCGCCATCACAAATCCGGCAATCAGTTATTCGGTTCCTTCAGCTATTCGGCACTAATTTTGACTAGCATAATTTCAGATTTCCAGGGTTACCACACTAACCTGCTGGTACTGTTTGGTGGTGCTACTTGCTGCATAAGTCATTCCAATTTTTTTTCTCCATTTATTGTTTAAACCTGCTTACTTTTAGACCTAGCCAAGGTTCCAATGAATAAAACAAATGCTTCTCATTATGTAAAGCACCTACACAGTACATTATGCATTAAAGATAAGGTGGCTTTGAAGCCACTGTCGGTTGCCATGAACTCAGTCTCATGAAGCAGGAGAATATGCTTATTATTACGCTAATATCAACACTACAGCTTATTTGCCTATCATAATTGATCTAATATGACATAATAAGCAATATAAATAACATAAAACATGTTAAATACTCCAGAATAAATAATATTTGGCATAACACCGAGCAGTTCGACGGAGGTATGAAGAGGATATGGTATACAAATACCATTCTCCTATCCCTGTCTTGGTGGCTTATATTAGAGAAAATGGAGTGTAGCACAGGGCTAACTGTTATATACACTCGTACTGCACCATAAACATGAAACAAAAGTTATTTTCTCTATATAGATTATCACGCATGGCAGCATATGTGTAGAGAACCTCGGATAACCCAGAAAAGTCAACGTGGCTTATTTTTAGTACCTGGCTTGGGTTAGCCATACATGATTTTTGGTAAATATTCGATTCCCACCTGTTGTCTATGTTTACCCATCAGTAAATGGGTACCTGAGTGTTAGCCAACTAGTGTGGGTGTTATCCTGGGACACTGACCTAATTTTCTTGAAATACTCTGCATAACAAGCAGCTTTCTATACAGTAGTATGTCAATGATGTCAGCTAGGCCTGTATACCTTGTACATGTACGTGTAGTAAATAGAGATATTATTATTATTATTATTATTATTATTATTATATTATTATTATTATTTTCTCAGTTGTTTGTTGGGTTATCTTATTCAAACTTGGGCAACATATGATGGAAAGTTACTTCTTAACATAGACCAAAAATGGAAGAAATCAGACCATAAATAGCGGAGTTCACTTCTCAGCCATTAACGGCCGCTTAGCGGTATATTTTTGTATGTTTTTATGGTTATATTCTCATTTTTTCGGTCTCATTTGATAGAATGAAAGATATATTACAGAAATAGATGTGATTTTGATTGCTTTCATGACGAAAAGTACCTTGAAATTGCGCTAACAGTAGTGAAAATGTTCTATTCTTTAGCGAATATCAAGAGTAAACAAATGACGTCACCGTCCAATACCTGTCCGCCTGCCAGTCGAAATTCCAATACGCAGTCAAGAATGGTTTGACATTATACAGTTATTACAATAATGCAGTAGTCTGCATAACAGTAAATCTTCTATTTTTTTGTGAATAAAAATTCCAAATGGTAAGCAAGAGTAATATAAGAGGGGCCTGTAGCCGTGACCAATGTACAGAGAAAATGTTATTTTAGTGCCAGGAATGTCTGCATTGTTTATTCTAGACCCTATTTTGAAATTGGCATCTGTTGAAATTTGTGTGAAATCGGCCAAACTGCCAATTTCTGACCACTTTATTGGGCAGTTGAAATAAGTGAATGGGCGGTTTCTTGTACTCAATTGACAGACTAGAAGTAAATAAGTTTATTCAGGTATACACAAATACAGTTACATAAATTATCATACATAGCAGCGTATGTATAGAGAACCTAGGATAACCCAGAAAAGTCAGACAAAGTGACTTATTTCCAGTATCTGGCTTGGGCTTGCCATCTATGATTTTTGGTAAATATTTTTTTTTCTCGGTTGTTTGTTGGGATATCTCACTGAAACTTGGGCAATGTATGATGGAAAGATGCTTCTTAACATACAACAAAAATAAAAAAGATGGACGATAAATAAGGGAGTTCGCTTCTCAGCCATTAGCCGCCTCTTTGCAGTATATTTTCGTATGGTTTTTATGGTTGTATTCTCATTTTTTTGAACTCATTTGATAGAATAGAAGATATATTACAGAAATAGACATGATTTTGATTGCTTTCATGGCGAAAAGTACCTTGAAATCGAGCTCAAAGTAGCAGAAATGTTCTATTTTTGCCGATGTTCAGTGAACTTTGTGTAAGTCAAGTTGG